TTTTCCAGTCTGAAGCCACATGAAACGCAACACATTAAAAAGCCATCAGTGGCTGCTGCTACAGGACCACTGCATTCCCCTTATTCAAAGGGCTCCCTCTGTCCCCAGCACTGAGGACCTCTTCATAAATATTTGGAATGAATGAATAAACTGTTGAAACTGCCCAGAAGGAGAAGAAAATATTTCTGTGAGCAATCTATGGCAACTGTGAGTAAAACTTCTCAGATACTTGCACACCTACAAATGGTGAGTAAATACTTAAATGAGGAAACCTCCTCTGAAAAATGGTGAGCAATTTGTTTTATCAATAGGTAGCAAAGAATTGACACACAGAAAAGAAAATCTCTCAAAATATCAATCAGTTTATTAAAAAGTCCAAGCACAGTAAGATGAGGAGATTATGGGCTCCTGTGAAATCCTTCCCATTGTGTGAAACACAATGAGAGCATACACACTATTATTTACACTTGCAAAAGGGCCTGTAAGGAAAAAAAAATTTAAAAAAAAAGGGAGACTAAGCAACCTGAATAGCCAGAAAGCAAATCAACACCAACATAAAAATGTCAATAATTTGTTTTTAAAATTTTTAAAGTTTAATAGCAATAAAATGGTTATAAAAATAGTAATACAATTAGAGTAATAATAATTTGGACAATTTGGATTAGGACAACATGAGACAATAAACACAAAGAGTTATGGACGTCCGGGTACCTTTTTCTGGGCAGCATGAGCCTGAAAAAGGACCCAAGGACCCACGTTAACAGAGGATTAACCCTTAAAAACAACAGCCTGTTGCATATTCATACACCTCACACATGATGCATAAATTCCATTCAAACACAGGATTCTGTCTGGTCTTCGTCAACTTCTTCCTCTGAACCCTAACGGCGCCCTCGGGGTGGGAAGAAGTTCGTTTCTTCTGATAAGAGGGTAATAAATAATTTTTCTCTGAAAGATTTAGGTGTCCTGTGGCTGCTATCTCAGTGCAAGTCCTTTATTTGGAAAAAAAGTATCCCACATAGCATAGTTTCTATTTTAACATTTTTTTTAATAACCTAAAACTATATTTAACACACTACTTAAGAGAATTAATACAGCATTACTTTCTAACACAACACATATAATATTCATTTTAATATTTGCAAAAAGCCAGTAATAAAATACACATTTTTCACAGCGGGGCAGCCGCCAAGTGCCGCTGCCGCCGGGGCTGGCCCTGCTCAGCAGCCACCGTGGGACAGGCGGGATGGAACCCAGCCCCTGGTGGGAACCCAGCCTGCCGCAGCCCAGGGTCCCAGCAAAGCCCAGAGCAGCGGGGACAGCTTCCTCAGCCTGAGGACACTGGAGCCCGGCAGGAGCTGCGTGGTTGTGTCCCTGCTCCTGCCCTGGCTGCCTTTGAGGAGCGGGCAGGAAAGCCCCCCTCAGGTGGGACTCCCTCCTTCAGCCCTTCTTCCCGCTGCTTCTCCCTCCCTGCCTCCCTCCCTTTCCCCCTCTGGCCGTGCTGGGCTGCTCGTTCCCTTGCTGTGAAGTGACGCCTGCCTGCTTCCCTGGAGGAAGGAGGAAGAGGAGGAGGAGGAGGAGATGATGGCTGTGGTGCCACACTGCTGGCCTGGCTCAGCAGATGGGCACAGGAGCTGGGGCCATGGCAGGAACCACAGTGGTCTCCAAGGCTGGGTGAAGCCCCAGTGGCCAAGAGGGCTGTGCTGGGATGTCGGCTCAGCTGGATCCATGCGGGATTCCAGCGGCCATGTGTGGTCCCAGCCAGTGCAGGAATTGCCTGGCCATGCATACAGGATGAGTCTGGTTTACATCTGGGCTTGGGGGGAGGATTTATGGAATCTCTCCTGAACAGGAGCTGCCATGTGCCAGCAGCACAGAGATATTTAGCAGGACCACAGATAGGAAGTGACATCCCAACAGAAGCCATGGGAACTCGTGCCTTCTCCCAAGGAAGCAAAGCAGAGCAGCACTGGAGGCCCTGTCCCCTCCAGGCTCAGACAGAAGTGGCCACCAGGCTGGAACAGCGCAGGCAGGGGCAGAGGGATGCACACACACAGAAACCTCCTCAGCAGGAAGGCACAGCCCTGCCAAGGAGCAAACCTGCCCTCGTGCCCCAGCAGCAGCTGAGGATTACAGCACTGGGAAGCACAGCATCCCCTCCCCTGCCACATCAAACCTGGGGAAGGAGGAGCAATTCTGCTGCCCAGGGACTACCAAGGACTGAGCAGTGTGGTCCTCAACACACTCAGTGCTTTTTTTTTTTTTTTTCTTTTTTTTTGTTTTGCACAGTAGTTTAGTAAGCTCCACCAAGAAGGAAATGAGGATGGTTAGGTATCCAGGGGAGGGAAGATTAGGAAAAGAGAGAAGCATCCACCCATGAAAACATACCACTTCAGACCTCAACTAAGAAAGTATCCAATTATTTCTTAAATTTCCCCTAGACTTTCTGCCTCAGCCTCTTTGCCTTGTTAGCCATTCCACATATTTATTATTCTTTGCATGAAATAATACTTCCTGACATCTGTTCCCAGTTTGTTTCTCTTTAATTTCCATTTATAGCACATTTTCCTATCCTCTGACCATGTTAAAATAAAACAATAAGTATGTTTGACACAGTGCAAGCTACTTAAGATCATGATCCTTCCCTGACCCTGATTTTTTTTTTTTTAATATGTCCTAAAACAGGGAAAGCACTTGAATGAAGTGAGTTGAGAAAGGCAACAGAGAGCTCAGATAATCACAAAGCACTCGTTTCACAGCGGTGCTGCAGCCAGAGACTTGGGGAGCAGCACGAGGAGCAGTTTGTGGTTACAGCCCAGCCCCTCTGACAAGGATCAGCTGAAGGCAGCTGGGTAACAGAGGTGCTGGGGGCCCCATGAGACGAGAGGGCAGAGCCAGGAGGCTGTGAGAGAAAAGGCAGCAGTGGGACAGGCACAGCAAAGGAAATGTTAATTCCCTGTGCAGGGACACAAACTGGCTGGAGGGAGGTTTCCCCTTCTGAGCAGGCAGATGGGAAAAGGTGCCCTTCCCTTGCTCTGAAGAGATTTCGTGTCCAAGTGCAATCTGGCAACTCCACAAGCAATAAATTCTCAAGGAGAAGCAGTGAGGAGTGCTTTAGCTATGGCACGAGAACATTTCGTGTTGTCATCTCTATATTGGTACAAGCCCTCAATGTAATTATAGCTCAGGAGGAGGTTGCTTATGAAGCAAATATAAAATGGCAAGAAGCAATGTAGCCTCCAACCAAACATGTGTACGCACCCTCCAGTCAAGTGACAGAGCAAACCAGGAGCCAGCATTGTCACCTTTTTAGGGACCACCAGGCAGCTCTGCTGCAGGGAGATCCTTCCATCCTGCTCTGTCCAATGCTGGCCTGCCCAGGTTCAGCTCCTGCTGAGCCAGCTCAGTGTGGTGGCACTTCCTGCTGTGACCAGGCTGGCAAGGTCACAGCCCTGAAGGGAAACCCAGGGAACTGGAGACCCTCCTGGGAGCCTCTGTCAGGGCAGGGGCAGCAGCTGCTCTGCAGATGGGTGTTCCAGCACAGATGTGGCACTGCAGCAGCCAGGAGCCATCCAGGCAGTGCAGATCCTGTGCCCCTGACCTGCCTCTGGCAGATTTCTTCACTCACACAAGTGTTTTACTGATAAGGCCTCGGGCTGCCTTAGGGCGTTTTCCTTTACCCACATTCCGAGCTGAGCTGTAGGCACTTAGAAACCTTGGGTTCCCTCTGAGGCTTTCTCAGGTCAAACCAAGGCATGAAAAGCAGGACTGAGAGCAGCCAAGTTCAGCTGTGCTCTGACAGAGCACTGGCCCCTCAAACACATGTGCAGCTCCGTGCCAGGGCTGCACCACTACGGCCCAGGAGCCAGAAGGAGATGAGGCTGGATGGTCTTTGGGGAAGCAGATCAGACCCCGTACAGACACCCCAAAATCCCACCCTGTCCCTGACAGTCTTCTCCAAATGCTCCTCGAGTTGGGAAGGGACCCACAACAATCTTTGAGTCCCAAAAATCCTAAATCCCAACACCTGAGAGTGTTGTCCAACCTCTCCCTGACCTCTTGAATCATCCAGAGCTGGAAGGGACCCATCAGGATCAAAGTCCAGCTGCTGGCCCAGCACAGGTCACCACAAATTTTTCCCCCAAATCCTCCCTGACCTCCTGAATTACAGACTACCCAAAGCAGCAAGGGACTCATGAGGATCATCCAGACCCTGCACAGACACCCCAAAATCCCACCCTGTGCCTGGGAGCATTGTCCAAACACTCCTGGAGCTCTGTCAGCTTTGGTCACCATTCCCTGGAGACCTCTTGAATCATCCACAGCTGGAAGGGACCTATGAGGATCATTGATCCCACACTTTGAAGGCACCGTCCAGCAAAGAGTTGGATCAGGTGCTCCACACATGCAGGACTGTTCCTTTTGGAAAACCAGCACCTCCCATTGCCCAGGAGATGCTCCCCTGATTGTCCCCTGGCTTCTGCAGCCAGCTTGGCCAGCCCTTGGGAACCACGGAATCCCTGGCAGCTACAGAGAGGTGTGTTTGTGCCTCTGCTCCCTGAACGCCCTGCACTTCATCTGCTTCCCTGGGCTTCAACTCTGAGCAGACACAGCTCACAGAGGGGGATGTGTCCTATGAAATCCATGGTTTGGAAGCACAAACATCAGCTCCCCCTAATCTGCCTGTTTCTTCTGCTCATTGCTCCTTTGCCACAATTGGCCAATTTACCTTTGCTCTTCATGCAGCCCAGCATCCCCAGCATCTGGAAGACTCCAGAAGTGACTGAGGAGATAAAGAGAAAAGCTGTGCTACACCCCAAGGCCCGATTATGCAAAGCTTTGTGCAAACAGTATTGCTGCTGCCTTGGAAAACAGGTTGGGAGGAAGGGATGAGAAAGCTTCACAGTGTGATGTAGCCCATTCTTGAGGTGATAATCTGGATTTAGCCAGCACCCCCTATTTTATGTGCTGAAATAGGATTTATGAAAACATACCAAGGGTCATTGTTTTGTAAGTTGCAATCTCTTTATTTGATTAAGTAGTTTGAGTCAACAAAGTCATACTCTCCTCTATTTCTGACAGCTTCTTCAGCATCTGGCTCACCTTGGCCTCATCAAACTCCAGGCAGAGAAACTCCGATTCCTACAAAAGAAGAGAGAACAATATTTGAGAAAAACAATTATGTTTGATCCCTGTGCAGAAGTTTGCTGAGGAATTTGACAGCTTAACTCCATTTGTCCATGGACTTTCTTGCATTTTCCTGTCTGATTAGGAGCACTAATTTGTATCAGTGATAAATATCCAGACAGGACCTGCCTGAGGCAGATGGGTTTGCAGGAGGCTGCATAAGAAAAGTGTGAACAAAATCCTGGAGTATGTCTCAGAGCATTCCTTGATTAGGAAGCACTGGAAAAGTCAGATCTCAAGCAATCCATGAGTTAACCCCTGAGGCTTTGAGGAGACCCAGACCCTTGCTGAGTGAACCATTCTGCATGGACACCAGCAGAGCCAGACAACATCAGCCTACCCTGAGCAGCTTGCTGCAAACTGGGACTGCAGAGCCAATGCCTCTTCAGCTCCTGCTGGATCTCCCCAGTTCCAGCATCCTTGCTTTTCCAGACCTGCCCAGAAAAGTCCAGAGCAGGCTTTCACACAACAGCCCGTGCAGGAGGAGCAGCTTTTCTCACCAGCCCAAAATAATCCCAGTATTTGTAACACATTTCAAGTCTCCTTTCACAGACAATCCAACGAGAGCTCTCTGTAACCTGACCTCTCACTGCTCCACGTGTGCCCCAGCCAGGGGCTGGTTCCTGTCCTGACCTTTGGGAAGGAGTGGCAGTGCCATGCTGTGGAGGGACCTGCTCCTCCATGGAATGGCCTCCAAGGCCAAGCTCCTGGTGCCTCCTCAGGCCACAGCTCTGCACCCCGAGTCATGTGAGCCCATCCACAGGCCAGGGCTGCCCATGGAACCTTTGAGATCTGCTAAAGCTGATTTCATGGCTTAATCACAGGGGAATGTGAGTGCACAGGAGGAGATGGGAGCGCCTACTTCTGGAGGAGATGTTTTTGCCTGGGCCTAAGGCATAAGGAGGAATTTTTTTTTTGTACCCCTCTTCAGGTTTTGTCAGTCAAAAGGAATGTAAGCTGATCAAAACAAAACACTTCGATTGCACAAAACTCTTTGATTACACAAAGACACTGCCACTTGGTACAAGTGTAAGTGCACTCAGGAAACATTCTTTTAGCTACACAGCAGCTAAAACTCTCCCATGAGGGCTGGATGGTGTCTGGTTATCCACTCTCATGTGCACCAACAAAAAACCTGACCCAAGAGGGCTGGAAATCAGGCTGCTCAGAACTGAGCTTCAGTTTTATTTAATGCTTTGTTAGTTTATCTCCCCCATGAAAAACAGAACAAAAAATAAGATGGAGCCATGAAATACAGAATTCCTTATTCCTTCCCTAAGGCATCCTCCAGGAGCAGGACAAATGGTATCCCTGGTCATCCTCAGCAGGAAACAAGGCATCCCTTCTGATCCTTCCTACTGCTAAAAAATTATCCAGCCCCGTTGGAATAGAACAAAACCAAAACCAGTCAGGGACTCGAAGTCCTGAAGCCCAGCAGTGCTGCTGCCCGGGCTGGAGCCGGGATTTCAGCCGAGCTGGGTGCCCAGAGGAAGGTGTGGGAAAGGATCCCCATTTCCTGCAGCCGCCTTGGCTTTGTCCCCCCACGCTTTCCCACCCCTCCTCCCCTCTCCCTCCCGGGCTATAAAAAGGAGCTGCAAAACAAAACATCCAAGAAACACAAACTGCCCCAGCCTTGAATCGGGGAGCTGCAACAACAGAGTGCTGCAAAAATATTTATATGAGAGACTAAAAGAAGCAAGACTTTTTCTGTCTCAGTAACTATACTTAAAAACCCCATGTATTTTTAGAAAACCAACCCTCACAAATTGAAAACTTGAAAAAATTACCATTGTTCTCTACTGTATCAGTTTGACCAGCTACTTAAAATGCTTTCTAGCAACTTTGACACACGTTGTATTTCTAAGTTTTAGCCACTACATTGGAACAAGAGAAAGGAAGCCCTCAGAATTCGCATGTCATTGCACTCATATTCATTTCCCCTTGATTTGGAAGATCCTACAACAACATCGAGCCTTTCACAGCCACCAGCCAAGGCGCCAGACCCTCTCTTAGAAGCCGCCTCAACTCGACGCGGTGCTTGTAAGATCATTAGGGGTTCTTTGTAAAGGAATTATCCCAGCTTGAATTACCAGGAAAGCTCTTGAGACGGTGCGAAAGCATCAGCTCCGGGTGCCTGTGTGCAAACACAGCCAGCCAGCCGAGTGCCTCTGCATTTGGGCACCCACGGAGCCTCTTCCCGGGGCAGTGGGAGGACTGGAGGGGTTTGGGTGCGATCCCTTCGGAGCAGGCAGCGCAGCCATGGGCTCTGCAGAGCCTGCCAGCAATGCAATCGCACTGCTCCGGAAGAGATCTCATTCCATTGTATTATTTTAGGTTTTGCCTTAGAGTAGGATGGTTTAAAGATTTAGCTTCCCCTTGCATATGTAAAAACCCAATCTGTAATGTCACCAAAACCTGCCTTCAAAACAATCTTTCATTGTGATTAAGAACCTACACTCATTTTCAGCCTCCTTTTTTCTATTTTTTTTTTTTTTAATGAACAGAGCCAAAAAAAAAGAGTCAGACTTCCAATCAAAAAGTAGGAGAGTTCAGAAGTGCTGCCTTTTTGGACATTTTGGGCTTGGCTTGTACCCAAGCACAGGGCTCCGGTTAAACCAGAGATGTGTTAGCACAGATGAATCTCGGATTGTTCCCATTACCAGAAAATAGGCTGAAACACCAAAGGCGGTGGGGATAAATAAAACAAGGAGCTGATCCCCAAGGCATAAAACAAGGAGCTGGTCCCCAAGATATAAAACAAGGAGCTGAACCCCAAGACACAAAACAAGGAGCAGAACCCCAAGACACAAAACAAGGAGCTGATCCCCAAGGCATCAGCGAGCCGGGACTCGGAGCCAGCACACAGCGAACGTGCCCGGGAATTCACAGCACATCAGCTCCCCCAGCAACACCCACGGGCACAAACAAATGTCATTTTGGTTCCAAGGCATTAATTAAACACAAAAGACAAACTGCTCGTTTCAGAATAAATCTACTGCTGATATTTTTCTGTCCAATTTTGCAAAGAAGTGTTAAGAGATCACTTCTCTGGAGTAAAAGAAAACACCTGCAGGTACAACCTGCTGTTGCCAATAGTCTGGTTTATCTGGTAATGTCAACTCTCCCACTTCCTCCAAATTTGCTAATTCCATGTAAATACTATTCCAATAAAACTCCTGCAGGGACTATCCTGTAAGTATTATCCCAAGTCATAAATGTAATTGTATTTCAGCAGGAAAATCAATCACAGAATTGATGTGATGGCTTGGGTTGGAAAGGACCTTAAAGCCCATCCCTGGGCAGGGACACCTTCCACTAGACCAGGTTGCTCCAAGCCCCATCCAATCCAGCTTTGAACGCTTCCAGGGATGGGGCATCCACAACTTCTCTGGGGAAACTGTGCCTCACCATGCTCAGTCAAGAATTTCTTCCCAGCATTTACCCTAAACTGACTCTATTTTAGTTTAAAACTGTTCCCCTTGCCCTGTCACTCCATGACTGTCCAGAGTCCCTCTCCAGCTCTCTTGGAGCCTCCTTTAGGTACTGGAAGGGGCTCTAAGGACTCTCCAGAGTCTTCTCCATGCTGAACATCCCAAAGTGTCTCAGTCTGGCTGAGATAAAGGAATTATCCCAGCTTGAATTACCAGGAAAGCTCCAGCCCTGGCAACATCTCCATCACTGCAAGATGAGTCCTTGGGACTCATCCCAGCAGGTCCATGAGGTTCACTGGTCAGCAATGGTCAGCTCTGAGCCTCCATCCTCATGGCTCAGCACCACAGCAGGCTTTGCCTGAGCCAGTACCTGCTCAGGCTTGCATGGCACATAAATGCAAACCTTAATTCAAAAACAGAAAAAAAAAAGAAAAATGGGGGGGGAGGGAAGGGGATATTAAAAAAAATCCAAATGCTCTCCCCAATACCAAAAAAGGCAAGAGAAAAGAAATTAAACACCACACTCCCTGCCCCCCAAAATCTCAACATAACCAGAAATTCAAAATGGAAATTAGACACTTTTTAACAGTGCAAAGACACATTTTCCTTGGAAAAGGCACATCCAGAAGTCATTTTTGCAATGCTGCTGCCAAGCTCTATCACAGAATCCTTCCTTCACTGCAGATTTCCTTACTCATTACTGTGGGAATTTGTTACTGTGCTGCCCAGTGGCACAAAATAAACCCTGATAAATTCACCCCTGCACTATAAACTTGCTTCCAAACCTTTCTCTGGGTGGCCGCTCCCTGACACCTGGTGCTCACCATTCCCAGGGCTGCCTGGCTCAGAGGGACCTGTCCTGTCACATGTGCAGAGCTCTCTGCCATCCCCTCTCCCACTCAAACATCCACTGCAGGAATGTCACAATACACAACATCCACCTTGCAGGAATGGTCCAAAAAGAAGAAAAACCTTGGATTTTAGCTTGCATTTCCTTCTTCAAAAATCACAGTAATAGGACATTAAACTGGGTAGTTCCACTGGGTGGAAATATTTCATGTCAGAAGTTTATGAGAGCAATTTATTTTTGCCATTTAGATTCTTGTCTATATTCTGCAAGATGTACTGGGGCATATGATAATGACAGCAAAATCTTGATAATTCCACAAAAAATGCAACGAATTGCAATCCATTGATTTCACACTCCCACATATCTAACAATACTAAGTTCATTATTTTTAATTCAATTTAGAGCTATTTTTGCCAGATATCTAAAATCATGCCCTTCAAAACCTCTAATGTAAAGTGCAATTCATTTCCATAATACTGTATAAAATAAAGCACAAATATTTGTAACTGTAAGAGCCTTTTAATTCTCCATTACTTTGATATTACATGAACCAGGAACCTCTTAAGCAAATTATTATTACATCCCCTTAAAAAAAAAAAGCTAACTCCATTGCAGATTTTTAATACTTTTAATGTATCATCAAGCCTGTAATATCATAGATTAAGCAGATTAAG